CACGACGAGTGTGAAGGTGGATCGGCTGTGGAAACGGCCAACTCTGAGTTTACATACCCATCTTGACTTCGACATGGACATGCGAGCAATCATCGAGCTTCTCCTTGGCCTGTCGTCTGCGGAGCTGTCGGCCGAAGCGTCGTCTGCCGGAGACCCACCGAAGAAGCCGGAAAAGGCGTCATCTGCCGGGGAGCCGCTGGGCGAAACGTCGTCTGCCGGAGAACCACCGAAGAAGCCGGAAAAGACGTCATCAGCCGGGGACTCATTGAAGAGTTCCAAAAAAAAATGTCATGGGATGACCCCATCATTGAATTTCATGCGGCACAGCATGCGGGCTATCACAAAAAGAACAAATGGGCGCAAGCAGACTTCCAGAATGAGACGGACGACTGGGTCTTTGTCATGTCGGATGAACAAAGAGACAAATTCCGAAAAGAGGTCTTTGAAGCCATCCAACTATGTGAATCAGCAAGGATCACTCACGACAACTACAAGGAAGCGGACCGGAAACGTTTTCCACCGGCTCCAGATGGTCCAGAGGGTGGCGCCGTGACTGAGAGCCTTCCTCCCTCGAGCACTCGCAACTTGCAAACTTGTCCAGACAAAAACGAACCGGGAAGGTTGTATCCTTCGAGTCCAGGCTGTAAACAGCAGTAATTGAGAGGATTGGAAATTGCGCGTGACCCGTACCGGGAAGCGCCGCAAGGACCGTCACCAACAGTGCGCATGACCCGTATTGGGAATTGCTGCAATGACCGTCGGTAGAGGTGTGCTTGTGCCGCAACGAATGGAAAACTTGGATTGCATATTTTGCGCCCGTCACGAGGATGACTTGATTCCTTCGGGATGTCCTTGCATCACAATGCCTGCGTATCAGAGTGTCACTTGGATGCGTTTCGCGGCTCGAGAAAACATATCTGTCTCTGTGCAACGCCGAAGCCATGATCGGCAGCGCGGCCAGCTCCAGCTCTAGTGCAACCGTCCATGCAAGTTCTGGCTCCGGTGCGGCTGCTGCAAGTTCCGGCTCCCGCGAAGCTGAGATTGCCTCGAGCACGACCTCGGCTTCTGCTTCGCGGCAAAGGACACCTTCGGATGTTCGCCATCAGCAAGAACTACGCGATCGTCAAGAGCTGACTGATCCAAAGTTCTGGCAAGTTACCGACGATAACCCTTTCTTGTTTTGGAGGGCAAAGTCTGCGTGCTGCGCGACCCGTACTGGGAAACCAGCCCAGATGCTCCGACTCAAAGAGAGGTTGTGAAAAAGGACCGGTGCATGTGATTAGCTCGGCTGCTTGTTTCATGCAGTTGCCGCCTTGGACTGTGCTGAGGTCATGGCGATGGCATGGGCACTCCGGCGCGGCAGATCACGCCTGCACACACACACACATCCACACGAACACACATGCACACACATGCACATGCACACAAACATACATGCATGCACACACACACAAACACGCACACACACACACATGCACACACATACACACACACACACACATACACACACACATGCACACACACACACATACACGGAACTAAACGCGACATGAGTGCTTCGGAGCCTACGACGACATGCCATCGCTATCGCAGAAGCAGCCTCAGCTCTGTCACACACATACACACATACATTCACGCACACACATTCACACACACAGACACACACACACATGAACACACACACACACACAAACATGAACACACACCCACACACACATGCACACAGCACCGGCAAGTCACGACACCAGGCTTTCGGCCGGGATTGGTGCATGCCATTCGATTTCCTGCACATCCCTGTCCTTCGCACACACACAAACACACACACACACATGAACACACACACACACACACATCATACACTCTCATAACATTCAGATCCACATAGGCGGTCACAACAACACTCACCCATTCTTTCACTCATTCATCCATTTACTCCCATACTCATTCACTCTTTTGCGTCTTTAGATTGTCTACCAATAGACAAGCTTCACATGTGGGGTTATCCGGTCCTTTAATTTTACCTGCCACAGCGTCCAAGGTTCAAGCATTGAGGGAGGTATAACAATATTTGATTATAATTATTGTTTAGTGGATAAAAACTGGCTGTGGACGGCGATTACAAGAGCAACAGATTTAAATAATGTATCATTCTTCAAATATGATAATGATGATAACGAATTTAATAAAAGATGCATATATAATTACTTATGTACAAAGGTTGAAGGATATAAGGAACAAGACAGAAAAGCAAAAAGAAAAATAGATCATAAGAATTATATTACCCCAGAATGGTTATTAGAAAGGTTGAACGGGAGTTGTGCAAAATGTAGTGTAGAATTTTATGTTAAATCAATAGGCGGAAATATAAGGATTAGTTTAACAGCACAGCGGAAATTTAACGATCAGACACACGCCATAAGCAACTGCATAGCATATTGCAAGAGGTGCAACTGCAACAACAGCGATAAAGAAAAGTTTTAAAAATATACATAGTTTTATAAAACTTGTATATTATATTGTATATATGCCAGTTGGTAAGAGCAAGGTTGAAGAAAAAGTAGAAGTGCCAGTAAATGAACAATTTGAAGAACTCAGCGAAAAAATTCCCAATATGGTGTTGGAACTAACCCGTGATATGGAAACGGTGTTAGAAAAGCTTGAAGTATTAACTGAAAAACTTAAATATAAATCAAATACAATCCTGAAGGAATATACGCGAACAAAAGAAACGCTTATATTAAGAAATTAAACGACGGAGCAATTTTACAACCTAAACCGGAAACTATGGAACATTATAAGGTTGTAAAAGATGGTGATGAATGTGTTGAAAAAATTATCACAAAAAATATCACAAAAATTAGCACAAAATTTATGAAATTTTGTATAACAAAAATATGATACAATTTATGAATATTTTATCATAAATTATTGAAATTTTAGTAGTGAAATGTGCGAGGGGCGGATGTCAAAAATGTGCAAAAATTTATGGAAAATTGGAAAATGTGGATCCCCCCTAAGAAAATAATGAATGAGCGGTTAGCGGTACGGAGATAAACATGGGGCATGCCCATCCCTAACTCTGGTTTCGTTCATATTTCCTTTGTTTAAGCTAAATAAAGCATGCACTTCGTTCTCTTTGTACTCTCGTTTATTTCTTATTTAGTTTAAACTACTAGATCTTATCCTGTTCATTTTTTCGTCGTGTATGGCTTGTTTAACGCATTCATTTTTTCTCTCTTTCGCTTGTCTTAATTGGTTGAAATTTTGCCACAAGACTCTCTTCATATTACAAAAGGATGTTACCATTAGGATTTAGACGATTATTACAAGAGAGTTATAATGTGGCAAATGACCCAAAATGTAATGATAGACGATAAGATATTATTATAGGAGGATGTTAATGACAACTTCCTGGAGTTGTTTCGAATCAGCAGACAAGCCAACTACGATAGTTGGCCGAATATACCCCAAATGATAAATGGGGAAAATCAGAAATATATCACCGTCGCAAATATAAATGCTCATCACTCAACGATGCACATGTAGCAAGTGTGAAAAGAGGAGGCCACCGCAAGGAGATACACACCTTGCAAATGAAGTTGCATTTCGCAAACCTCAATCTGCCCCTAGGAGTGGGTGGGTGGGTGGGTTAAAGAAAATTTCGTGGTGACTACAGCAGAGCCACACACTGCCGGCACATGACACAGATTCCCAAGGCATCTCCGTCAGAAGGGTCCAGATGCAAATTGGGAAAATGAAAACATGTGTGCCAAAAATCCCCACGTGAAATTAAATACAATAAATCTGTGGAAACACAGAAAATGTTTTCGTGATAAAGGCACACGAAAACAAAATCCCGATTCACAAAAACTCACTCCGATGGATCCAGCCCGTTCTACATTTCCATCTAGCCGCAAAGAATACTCTCACAAATTTCTATAATTCATATATAAACATATTCACATCACGTGCATCACACTGCAGTTCGATCCTCTCCTTTTTGGCGGTAAGACACTTCGTGCAGCAGCATAATGTCAAATGCAGATGCAAGAATGTGTACGAACACCGGCTGCAGAAGTGTAAGAGTACCAAATGCAAAGACCATAAAACAAGTATCGAGAGAGCACAAGATACCACAGGATGTACGCCGGAAGTCGTATGCATTCAATATCCGCACTTCAATGTACAGAGAATGTACAGTGCACCGATGTCTTGACTATGCACCGTGAGGCATGCATAACGCAAAATGCCACACCACACAGGGCGGGCGGGTGGGGCCTTTCTTGACCTTTCTCTGCTCGAGCAGCTTTGCGGCTAGATGAGCAACAAGGATGAACCATCATGCGTTAGAACAGAAATGTAAAACAGTTTTGAGCAAGCACGAAAAGCGTTCTACATTTCCATCTAGCCGCAAAGAATACTCTCACAAATTTCTATAATTCATATATAAACATATTCACATCACGTGCATCACACTGCAGTTCGATCCTCTCCTTTTTGGCGGTAAGACACTTCGTGCAGCAGCATAATGTCAAATGCAGATGCAAGAATGTGTACGAACACCAGAACCGTAAACTGCCACAAAGGAGAGGTCGGACTCGCAAGCACTGCACACCCACTACCGAAACGTGAGGCCGACTGAACCTGAGTGGGCGTTCCGCCCAAAGAAGCGTCACCGCATACGGTTGAAGAAAACATAAGGTACACCAGTAGCATAAAGTACTCGACGAGCAATGACGCTTTGCGTATGCAGTCAGTGCACCTAGTTGCTTGCAACTCATGTCTGTCGCGTTCACTGATGCATGCTCTGCATCTCTCAACACCGCCCTCAGGGGAACGCATGTGCTCACGGGGGAAGGCAAGCCGACCGCGCGCCGTGAGTGTCGAACCCCGACGATGATGCACATCAACACCGGTGTTGCAGGAGCCCCAAGAGCCCACGGGGGAAGGCCAGGCCGACCGCGCACCGTGAGATGTTGAACCTGCCCGATGTCGAGTGCTTACACGCTGTTTTCATTGAAGGAAGATACAGGCGGCTGCCATAACAACTTAGCATGTGGCGGGAAAACGCGAACATCTCGCTCGCCCTCCCACAAGACTGTGAGTGGGCATCGAACCCGATAATCCAAGCTGAACCGGGAAGGAAGTTCCTGCAAGTCGCCTTTCCATCTGCTCAAGAAATCAGCACTATCATTGTGACATCCCGCGATGTGTGTACAATCGAGAGAGATTCCAGACTGCCAACTCCGCGTAGCCAGTTTCTGAGCAAAGAAGCACAACGGTGTATGTACTGTGAAAAGCTTGTTAGTCAAGGACTCGGTCCCCGAGTTATCCGACCAAGATGGGATGCACACCCGAAGGCGCCCAGTGGGAGTGATGGAAATGAAAGCGACTAAGAGAGCCAGTTGTGCCAGCGTCTCATACGCCGTAATGTCCAAATTAGCATCATCTTTCATGGGCAACCCCAGTGAACGGAAATCTTGGACCGTAAACCATTCGGAAAACCAGACGATGGGCTGATCCGGCAATGCAACCCATCCGCCAATCCCAATGTCGTTGCCTTTAGCACAAGCGTCAGCAGCTAAGGAATACTGGAAGTCCAAAGGTGGCAAAGACAAGCAACGGGGCATCTGAGGCCGCATGCAAAAGTGAACCCAGAACATGATGAACTGTCTGCTCACCGTGCTGATCCGTCGCTTGCTGGATGACGCATCTGCCACACGAATCCAGACCCGCTTGCCTGTTGCCCTAACCAGACGCAAATCCGCCTTGCACTTGATCTCCACATGTCGTGCACTCAACAACTTGCTGCCCGGGGGGATGTTCGACCCTGGTGGCGATTGCGGAAATGCAGATCATCAGTCAAGGTATCTGCTAACTGTTGCCAGGCACCTGCATGCAAGGAAAAATTTGTGCCCAAGGGACGAGACATGTCGTGATACAAGCAGCACAGCCAAGGAAGCAACTCGGGCGACATCTGCAAGACCCAGTGAAGGAGACCGATAAGAGCCTGCAAATCACGCTTGGTGCAAGGATCGGACCGGAGCACTTGCATCAGGCTTTGCAAAAGTTTGGCCACCTTAGAATCAGGCAGACAAAACGTCCCTGCACGGAAATTAATCCGCCAACCAATGTACTCCAGCTTGGGCCCCAGCTGGAGCTTACGCCAACTGATCGGGTATCCAAACGATTGTGACAGTGCCACCATCAAGAGCGCAGAAAAGTCGATAGCCGAACTGTGCTGAAGGAGTAAAGCGTCGTCCACGTACATCAGTAGGACGTGGCTGATGAAGATCAGGCGATGGCCGGTACGAACATAAAAGCCCGCTACGCGTTGCCACCACAACGCTGAGAAAGAGCCTCCAAATGGTGCCACTTTATAAAAATAGTATTTGCCGTTCACGGAAAATCCAAGCAATCCTTGTTCACTCGCCCGGATCCGAACGGTTTTGTGGGCGGCCTGTATGTCTAAAGTGCAAGCGGCTATACAGCCCGACACACCCCTGAGGGGATACACTGCCCGGATGTCTCCGAGACCGGGGAGAAGAAAGCGCTCGGGCAGGTGGCAGCTAGGGTTAACCCCACTAACCGATGGGTCGACAATCAACCGAGGATCTCTAGAACCACTTTTCACTACATTTACTTTGCCTACAGCGACCCGGGACCATTTGGCTTGGGCTTCTTCGAGAGAATCGAAGACGTGCACGTATCCCTTGTCCACCTCTTTTTGCACAAGTTCTGCCAGCAATTCTGGCTCCTCATTGGCCCCGGGCCAGTTGCCCGAACACACTTGCACATCAAAATCGTCTGGATTGAAATTCGCTGGGGTCGGCAAGAAACAATGGCTCATAGAAATGTCACCATCAACACCGGTTGGCACCCCAGCCTGCAAGTCCTTCCAAAGCTCCACATCACGGTCGTCAAGAGCCTTGCTCAAAAGTTCAAGTGCCTGAAGACAGTAAGGCTGGTCGGGCGCAACCTCCCATGAAACTGAATCCGTGAAGCCCTGAGCTCTAAACCAAGCTTCCCAAATTGCTCGCAATGCCGGGAGCTCATGCTGCTGAATGAGTGGCTCTTGCGATGACTCGCTTACATGTTTGCGAAGGCGATCAAAAAGTTTATGCTCTTTGAAAAATCCCCACATATCTTGACGCAACTGACGGAAGGTATCCTTTTGTCCCGCCGGAGGGGACGTCCAGTCGGGCTGGCTGTAGATGCCGCCGCCATCCTGTTGGCCAGTCGGGAAATCGTTCAAGGGACGAATCGGCAGGGCAGAAAGTGCCTGATTCAAGGATGTGAAGCTGGTAACTTGCGTACTCTCTGGAAACAACGGGCTGATAGCCTCCATGAACGCATTGCAAAGCATAGGAGGGAACAACGCTGTATGCCGAGACACGAACTGGCCTGTGGCGTCACGTTTTCCGTGAAAGACATCATGATGACCCACAGCGTGCTGGCAAGTGCTTTGCAACTGCTGTAAAGGTCGCCAACTTGTAGCGAAAGCCCAGTACTTTGCATAGCTCGAACCATAGCTGCAAGCTGCAACCTGAATCACATCCGCCGCAATTTCCAGCAAGAAAGCCTGTGTCACGGGCTCGGCCCAAGCCATAGAATTACGAGGTTGTTCTAAGCTTACGTGATTACCGCTCTGAAACACAGCGTGCAGAAGCATGACTGCCCGAGACAATAAAAGGTGGCTGGACTGAACACGCTCCTGGGCTTCGGCATTATTGGATGGAAAGCCTCCCAAGTACTCCCATGATCGGCAGGGTGGCGGCCCGCCATCGAACTGCTTCACAATGCTGTATTCGCAGCAAGGGGGGGATGCATTTGCAAACGCTACTGCACCTGAGTGGGAAAGCTTCAAGAGACCATCGAAAATGCGATCATCGCGTAAGTCTGATTCCTTGTTATGTAGAATATCTATGGGAATACACGCCCAACCCCGACGTGCGGCCTCCTGACAAAGTGGTGCACTTGCACCAGCGAAAAGATCCAAAAAGAAGAGAGGGCGCTGCTTTGTGGCCACCACCGGTGGCAGGGCTGAAATTGGCGCGGTGGAACTCACCGCTGATGTGGCAGCTGATGCCTGTATCGGCGACACATCAGGAACCTGCGCCGGAGATACCTCCGGAAAGCCAAGTTTGGCTAACGTTCCCTCCGGCACATGGGGCAATGTGTAACAAGTGATGGACCATCTATTACCCACAAACGGCATCGTTTCGTGCCAGGCACAAGCTGGAAAAGAAATGGGATTCCGAAAAGTCTGAACTTCTTCGCCCTTGATCCAGTGCTGGCTGCCTGGTGGCTGGCGCCACAAAGTGCCTGTTGCTGACTCCAGCCACAATGCACCCCCCTGAAAGTCCCCAACGGAGACATTCAAATTCATGGAGCCCTCACTGTTTGCTAAATCCTGGTGAAGGCTAGCCACGCGGTTGAGATTTATACAAATCGCATTCCAAAATTGATCCGGCCAAAGAACCTTAAACAAGGCATTCAAACGGCGAACTACGTCGGGTTTATCTTGGGTGATGGAAGTAAGGACAGTGGGTTCTGAGGGCCTAACCCCAAAATTCCAGTAACCGGTGTCATCGTTGTCACGCGGTTGCAAGACAGCCCTTGCTGTATGGCACGGCGGCCAATCCACAGATTGCAAAATGTTCAAGATTGTGTCACATGCAGCTGAAACGGCCGACGACGGGTCTGCCACTGCGGCACATGTGGCATTCAACACAGTGCTCGGAGCATCCACTGCTGCGGGCACCGGTGGGACTTCAGAAAACGTGGCCAGGGCACTACCTGACGAAGCACATTGTGGAAAACCAGAGAAATCAAGATTGGACTCCTCAGCATCAGATTGTGGCTCAAAGCAAACAGTGTGGCCAGTGTGCATGGGTTCACATGCCTCAGCCGCATGTAAGACCGACATGTCTACGTCCGCAAGAACAACGCCCGATTGGGGCGACACCAGGGGCTGAGACATGCACCCCGCCTGTCAGTGGGGCGTTTGCTTGTGCTCAGCCGGACTGTGATCCCCGAGACACATGCGATTGTTTGGCAAAATCACGCCACACACATGTTCGAACTTGCACTGATCGCGAGTACACTTGCCCTGCTGAAACCCGGAGCACAGAAGGCGTTTGTTCTTGCCTTGCATCCATGAGGTACCCACTCGCAGGCCATTGCTCATCAAGGTATGACGCTGGGAACCTTTGCCATCCTTAGAACCGCCCTTATTGCCCTTATCCCCTTTGCCGCCCTTGCCGTGGTTCCCCTGCTTGCCATCGCCTTTGATGCGATGCGGCGTCCACGGTTGCCATGGAATTTTCGGTGCGACGGCCCTCGGCATGAGCAGAACGTGAAGCTCGTTGCGAGCCACGACAACCTCGCGTATTGCCTGATCCATCGTCCAGTTCTCTTCATTGAACAAGACCGCGATCTGTTGCCAAAGCTGTTTCTCTGCGTTCTCGGCCTCCAATCTGTTTGGCACTCGCAACCCCCCATCCCGAGGCAAGTGATCGAAACACTTGACAAGAAATTTACGGTTCATCTCCCGCAGGGTGTAGAGGTGGGCGCCGTCTGCTAGCGCAATCGCCACTGCCTGCAAATGAAGCAATTCTGCCATAACACTCTTAGCCATGCCCTGTGTGGGCAACTCCCTGCTGGGTATCTCTTCCCACAACAGATTTGCAAGCCGTGGGGCCTTAAGGGAACGCTCAAGAGACTTAGAGTCATATTGTTCTTCGGACAACCGCAACTTCCACGGTATCCATCGCCAACGGCGATCCTGCAATTGCTGATGAACCAATGACAAAAGTCGTGGTGATGGCATTATCTCGGGGCTTAATGGTTCCGAAGGGTACTTCTCACTGAAAGCCTTTATCATTTGGCGGACTGCCTCGCCACTGAGACGCTTCGGGAATGCCTCAGACCATGAAGCCTGATCGGCAAGCGCACCTGTGCTCCCCACGGGATTGGGCTTGGGAGGATCGGGTTGCAAGGGTGCCCCCGACTTTTGGCATTTCCGCCACAAGAGGCGAATCCTGGCCTTTACCAACAGATCGGATGGCTGAGCTGGGTACGTGAGGCCATCTAAGAATTCCTGAATTTCTGCATCAGAAAGAGACCCGAACTCATCTGGGGCAAACACAGCCACATCTTTCCAAAGAGACTCCGGGATGCCCGAGCCTTCCAATAAGGCCCGCATCGGGCTGGCCTGTTCAGCGGCTTTCTCTGAGAGAGCCAAGAAGGGGTTGGGTTCTGATAGCGCCATGCTCTTGTCTAGAAAGTGTATTTAACGAACGTGGAAGCTAAACGCAATGGAAACTCAATAAACTCGGAAACGCTCACACAAGTTACAGAAGAAACTTCGTGGTATGACTTGAAAAAGCACAACATGTCCTACCATGACCAGCTGAGCCAACAACCTTCCTGTTGATGTTCATTGAACAACAGTCACTCGCAGCACAGTCACCTGACCTGAGACATCTACCGCATGAGACATGGCAGCACACACAGCGACTACCTTGAGCGACGACCATGCATAGAGCGTTCTTTTGGCATATCCGATAGCCCAGAGATCGAAGCTTCGACAAAACTACCAGCTACAAGCGTTGCAACGCCTTATGAGCACGCAACCAAGGAGTTACTCCGATTTGGCACACATGATCTTCGATGCGAGGCTGGTGTCCAGGACTTCAGTCCCCACCACTGGTGTCCAGGACTTCAGTCCCCACCAGAACTGCCATCCGAAACCCCAGCGCGGTGTCCAGGGCAATGCCCCCACCGGCTGTATGCCATATCCCAAGACGGGATAACAAACGGGCATACCGCCCTGAAGGTGTCCAGGGCCCGAGCCCCCACCACTGATACCGTGCCGACTCTGGCAACCCACTTACCTCATAGCCAGCTGAAAAAAGCCAAAAACCCCAGGGCAACTCTGTGTGCACAACTGAAGCAGCTTGTTAGCCGGCCGATGCAAAAATTTTATGGCAAGCTGGATGACGGCATAGCCTGGACCCGGGTGCGAAAGACATGGACAGTTGAAGATTCTTGCACAACGTGCCACATGCCGGACGCACGAGACCTGCCTTGCAAGGAGTGCCATGGGATGAAGGCATGGCCACATGCATGACACCTGATCCGCTTACCAAGTAACCAAACTCCTCGGGAGCGCCCAATGATTCTGCTGCTGATTCCGAATCTGAAGACACCAAAGCATGCTCGTTCAAGAATGCATTATCTTCCGCCTGCGAAGTCTGGGCGGCTACTGTGGCCTGCGGAACCAGCGCCTGCTCAACCGCCACGGAAGGCACATGCGCTCCTGGTGTATTCTCCGGTACAGAAACATGCACTGGACCGAAAATGGGCGGAACCTCAAAAAAAGGCGGCACGGCTTCTAAGGTGCACAACGGTTGCTGAGGAATCGAATGAGCTGCCCCCCGCTTCTGCGGGGCAGGAGGCAGCCATCCGGCCCGTACTGCTGTGCAGACAACGGCCTGAGCTCTGAGCGCCCCCACGGTGTCTGATCTGCTATATAAGGCAGCGCTGTCGAGGCGATGATGCCCCGCTGAGAGCCTATCCTCCTTCCCCACTGCCCGAAGGTGCATAAGATACAGCAAAGCCGACTTCAAGGAGTGCAGAGTGAAGACTGACTCCGCCCCAGTGGCGCAAGCACCGGATGCCACGCACCAAGAGCGCAGCACTCGCAGCGACTGTGCGTAGGATAAGGGCGCAAAATCCCCTGTCGCCTCGTCAAAACGAAACCAAACACAGTCAGGATCAATGCTGTCGCCATGCATATCGCGCAGTCGATGCCAGACTTCACCAAGCGCAACTAGCCAAGCTGAAACCCAAGTGAACTCCAAAATATCCGCAGTACCATGGAAACCCATAACCCCCGCCGCCAGCGGCATGCCCCTGCGCGTGGTTTTGGTCTTGAAGGCTTCTGCCCTAATGCAATCGGAACACACTTCGAAGGATGACCACCGAATGCGCTGGGAATCCGACCACCTCAAGGAGGCGTGTGCACACAAGAGCAAAGCACCCGCGTGACATCTGTCCTGCAAAGACATCTGAGCCTCCAAGAGCATCACCTCACAATATGACATCAATCTGATAGGAACCGGGTATGATTCTCTATGTGGTTGAACTCGAGGGGCAAGTAACATGGCCACAAGCCCATTGTAAAGATCAGGAAGGGGCAAATTGAGCATCCGACGGAACCATCGAAGGGCTTTGATGGTGTTGACGGGCTGAAAGTCGGCTGCCGAGTGCCCCCGGTGGGTCGCCCAAAGCATATCAACCAATTGCGCCTGATTAAGCTGATCAATTGCTGGCAAATCAAGCTCCAACCCTGCCCTAAAAACCGCTAAGACCGCCGTCATGTACCGCAAGAGTGTGGAAGGCGCCAAAGTGTTGAAGAACTTTTCAGTAAGCAAAAACTCATTCGTGGAGCTCGACATCTGAAGGAGCACATCAGAGTGATCCAAGAGAATCGGCTTGAGTTCCAACCATAAAGCCTGAGCCAACTGAAGCTTCTTAGCATCATGCTGCACTGCAAACTCCACAGTCCCACTGCCCTTAGTAGGCCTAAAATTCGTCCCTGCATGAAAGCTGCCACTGCTCATTGCCTCACGTCCTGCTGGGTTCTCAAGAAATGAGTGCTGCTGAGGCGGGCGAAGGGCACGCTTGCATGTCGGCCTGACAAATGCACTAGCCTGAGGTTGGGGAGCTGCTGCAACCGAGCGCTCGTGATGGAACAAGGACCTGGATGCCGGTGATGCATGCAACGCGGGACGGGGAGCAGGACTAAACCCGAGACCTTCCGAACTAACGTGATGCAACATTGTCGGCCGCATACACGGTCGAAGGGATGCAAAACTAGTAGGACGTACAACCTGGGCCGGCACAGGAGTCTTTGTGCGCTTCAAGGGTTGCATGAGTACGGGACGGGGTGCAGGCTTATCCGAAACCCATAAACCCTTACTTGAGAAAATGCGCTCCGGTGCCATTACTTCATCAGAATAAACCCACTCGAAGGAATCCAAATCAAATGAAGACACACTTGGCGCCACAGCCGGCACGAGGGCATCCTGATCGCCTGCATTTGAATCTACCACGGAAACAGCCTCAACAGCGGAAGCATCACGCTTGAGAAGACGAGCAGCACGCCGGGCCCAAGGCGTGGTAGCCGTAGCACTGTCCTGTGAGTCAGGAACAAACGGCAATGGAGCCGCCACCTGTGAAGACTCAGCTGGCACCGCAAGAACATTTGCAGCTGGAGCTGCATGTTGCCTAGCCTGCAACGCCTTTTCAAGCAGAACAAGTGCCATACAATCAAAAGTTGTCTCGAAGCTGGCTAAAGATCGAACGCAGATGTTGTATGAACTGCTCCAACCAAGTGAGGCGTCGTTCTGAAACCTCGCGCGAGGACTCAAGTGACTGGATCCTTTCCTCAAGATATGCTTGCGTATCGGTTAAGATCTGATTCTGCTCCCGCAAATGATTCAACTGAATCTGCAAGTCAAACACGTGGCGAGAGATCTCTGATACTGTGCTAATCGACGAACTCGGAGGATCACTGGCCGGGCTTGCTGCACCGGACGAGGGCTCCGCCATGCGAGACCCCCTTTGAGGATGCCAACTCACTACTAAGCAAGTTCAATGGAAAGTGAATGTAAATACAGTGTCTTACACAAAAAGACCAAGACTCATGAGTCGTTGATAAAACAAGAAGCACACAGACATGCATGATGCCTTTCTTGACCTTTCTCTGCTCGAGCAGCTTTGCGGCTAGATGAGCAACAAGGATGAACCATCATGCGTTAGAACAGAAATGTAAAACAGTTTTGAGCAAGCACGAAAAGCTCGCTGTCGCTTCAAGCCAGCTCTTGAAAGCGGGTTCAAGCGGCCGTTCAGAACCCGACGACCCAGTGAGCTGCGGCATCCTTGCGAGCCGCCGCTCGCAGCAAACAGGCGACGGTATTCTTGCAGCTGTTTCAGGCACGGCTTTCTCGGGAGGATGCTGTGGTGCTCGCGACAGACGAGTTGGTCGGCTGTCGGCCCGTCGAGGCGGACCTTCATTAATGACCTGGCACTTGGACAGAGACTGAGAGCAGAAGATTTTCAAATTTCTGGTCCCATGCAGGACGACAAGATGGACTTGACATGAGCCGAGTTGCCGAAGGTGTCCCCGCGAGGTCTTGCCCTTTCTTCCCTCAGAGAACTGCTGCAGCCAGCTGACAGAATGGCTTTCGTCGTCTCACGTTTAATCCCACTGCTCAAAGACACTGGGCTAGGTAAGGAGCCGCTTCAGACAAAGCCGGGAGTTTGTCAGACCAATGCCGCATGGTCCTGGACCAGATCTCATTCAAATCCTCGCCTCCGGTCCTCAGTCATGCACTGTTCGTCTTGGAGTGAAGGGCCTCCGAAGAAGAGACTTGTCGCCGGGAGGCTGTGACTTCACCAGCAAGGCTGTAGGACGTGCCAAGAGGAACTCTTTGGCCAGCTGTGTCACCTGAGCGGTTGAACATCACAGCCTCGGTCCCGCTGAAGCGGTGTGGGCTCCAGACCTCCGCTTGTGCAGCCTCTGCTAGCGGCTTGAAGATGTCAGGTTTTGGCATCGGATGTTAGTAGCGGTGATTATTACAGGAGCAGAATCGCACAGAAGATCATGGATCCTGTGGCTCTGGCAAAGCTTCGTCGCTGCACAGGGTATGGTTGACATCAAACGGAGAAAGCGATGCCTGGACGCCAACCTCCACATCGGCTTTCAGGCCTTGAACAAAAAGCTGAGCGATGTTGCGAATGGCACCGAGTTCTTTGGCCACGAAGGAACGTATCTTGTTCCTGTTGGCGCCGCTGTGCCAGAAGATCATCTTTTGCTTTACAACCAGGCACTTGTTCTGCTCAAGCTTTAGAGTCGCCTGCAGTCTTTGCACGTAGCCATGTGCATAGGCATCATCCAGAACCAGCGGCTGCTGCAGCTCTCCTGCCGGACTCCGAAAGTCGAAGAGTCGATTGATCAGACGCTCGAGCTGCTGAAGATTGTGGGCTGTCGCAGCCAATCGCAGATGTTGGCCGTCCAGTGAGTGGTTGAATTTCCTTGGATCTCTTGCCAGAGAAGACTTGCAAACAAGACTGATTCCTGCAGTCGCCGGTTCGCAGCGGCACAGGCAAGCTCCGCGATCAAGCCAAGTTGGAGGAGCTTCTCCGGCTGAAAGCATTGTTGAAGAAGCTTAGTGGCCCAACCTCAGACAGCACAGACAAAAC